AGGGGGTCATTGTCACCTCACCCTGCATTTGCTGGAGGTATTGCTGGGTGAAGCTGGTGACATCCTGATGTCAGCTGCCTCGATGGTGCCGTGGGGCAGGAGCAGGACTGGTGGGGTGTCAAGGGTGTGGGACAGTGGCCATGGGGTACCTTGGGGTGGTCGGCGCATGGAGGGACATTTGTCAGACCCAGTGGGTGCAGCATAGTGGTGGGGACCGTGAGAGATGTCAGCTGTGAGAAGCGTTCAAACCCAGGGAGTGTGGCGTGGCAGAAAGCAGCCACGGGAGTAAGCGAGCCATGGGAACAGAGAGCTGTGACAGAGCGCCACAGGAGCCAAAGAGCTTATCCTCTGCTTGACATGAGTCCAGTTACCCGTTCTGCTGCACCACCGAGGTGGCCAAACTAGAGCCAGTGAAAGACTCCATGTTGCAGACTAGCGCATCCTGGTGCCTTTTGCTTGGAGGAGAGCGCACACAGCCCGGGGCTGAGCTCCTGTCTCAGCTCTGCAACCTGCCACTTGCATCTCAGTGTGCTTATTTCTGTCTGAAATGTTGCAGTCAGAGCCTGGAAGTCAGTCAAGTGTGAACTGATTGCCATCTCAGAAATATAGTATGAAAAACTTTGCCCAAATTCAGCTCTGGCAGGACTGGGAATAACACCCAGTCCTTGATAAGGTAAATTCAAGTCTTTCAGTTCATCTCGTAGTGTCTCGTAGAGCGAATCTACCCAGTTTGTGATTGAGTCACCCTGTTCACTGGCTCATGCTTCCTTCTGAAGGCAAGAAAACCATTTTGCCAATCTGCATTATTTAATTTCTGTTGTAACTCATTGACAAACTATGAATTATGTCCTCTCTAGATGCTGGACCAGAGAGGATAAACATCTCTGGACTGAAAGGATAAGAGCTTTGTAGTGAGGATATAAATACTCTGGATTTGAATTCTGCTGGTGATTTGAGCGGACAAGTCTGGACAGACAGATCTTGAGGGTGGGGGGGAAGGACGCTTAGACAAACTGCTTCATGAAATGTTTTCCGCCCTGTTTCTAAAAATATTTAAAAGACCGAGAAGACAAAAGCTAAACAGCCTCTGTGCTTTAATTATGCATCAGCCGTGGTATGGTGTGCAGCAGAACTGAGGTGTTGCACGTATGGGTGGCTCACTGCGTCTTGGGTTTGCTGGTGTAACGGGCGTGCGGCTTGGTCCGAGGGTCAAATGAGACACAGAGAAGAGGCTGGGAAGACACGGGGAGGCAGAGGGACCTGGGTTTGCTGGGGAGGTGGCAGGGAAGGAGACGTGAGGAGGATATCCTCCAGTGACAGTGGGGCAGGCAGGATGGAGGAGAGGGCTGCCATGCATGCATGGAGAAGGGTGCTGGTGTGGAGTCAAATCGAAAGGGAAGGGGGGTTGTTCCTGAGAGATGTGAAAGAAGCTGTTAGGGCAGCAGCATGTGGTGTGTGTTCTGAGAGTGTTGCCATGAGGTGAGCCGTGCATGCAAAGTCGTGACGTAAGTGTGAAGGCATGACAGAGCGTTAGCAGGGGAAGCTGGTCACCCACTTGCGAGGAGAGAGGAAAGTGGAGCAGTATCAGGGAGCATCAGTCTGGACGGGTATCAGACCTGCGGTTTATGTCTGAAGAAGGCAGGGGATAGTCTTGGGTTGTAGAACATTCCCTGTGGAAGATGAGGGTGGTACTGCTGAGATGAAACTGCATGTAGGGCACAGAGGGTTTTTTAATGAGCGTTTTGTAGCAAGGATCAGAACTGTAGCTGGGTGTTGTGGGATTTACAGAGATGCAGGAGGTTGGGCAGCCATCTCCCATGAAGCAAGGATGGAGGTAGGCATGTTGGGTGTGGTGGCATTGGTGGTGAGAAGAAACAGAAGGGGAGCTCCAGCATGCAAGAGGAGTTGGATAACCCCTAGGAAGGAGACATTCTGGAGCCTTTCCCTGCCGGCCTTTGGTTCCATTCCAGCTTTTTGTCAGCCATGCTTGAATGCCCTTCTCTGTGGGCAAGCAACTGTAACCAGTTCTTGTTGTCACACATGCCCCATCCTGCAGTGGGGTCAGAGTAGCCAGCCATGAGAACAGGTACTCATCTCTTCTTTGCTCCCTGCAGTAGTGTTTTAACAGCCGGGCTCAGCAGCAGAGGTTGAAGTCGGCTGTGCCTGTTGGAAGGTTTTCAAGGTGATGGTCTGTTTTGTGGATATACCAATTGTGAAGGTGTGCCACAGCATTTTTGGAGGGCAGCCATTGACTTTGTGATGACCAGCCAGTGTTCAGCTGCTCTCCCCACAGTTGCAAACAATCTCCCTTTTCATCAGGTCCAGGTACTGCCACTTCTCTTCCCTGACTTGTGTTCTCTGCAGTGTGGCTCATGTCAGGGAGCAGCAGGCTCCTTCAGGGAGCAGCAGAAGGCTGCTCCTTCAGGGAGCACAAGCTAGGAGCCAAAGGTGATGACAGCCACCAGCAGTGCCCTAGGGTACAGTAACTTGGGTACAGTCCCACCATAGCTGAACAGGGCAGGCAGAACAAGATGCTGATAGCAGGGGTCCCTCAACAGTCCCAGAGAAGATGAAGGGGTTCATTGGATCCAGGGTCTGCCCAGCAAGTCCAGCAGTAGGAGATGGTGCCAGAGACAGGCACCGGTGACAAGCTGCCTACAGTGTCAGTCCAAGGTTTGTCCAGGCAATATGACTGAGGACAAGTGCACCTGTAATACTGCTCAGATGAGGCAGTATGCCTGGACCTGAGCTCAAGTGGAGCTTGACCATGGGCAGAGGGTGTGTGGGTCAGGGCCTGAGGCTGTTTGGGCCATTCTAATGCCTGCTAGTACACTCAGGGCCCAGCCACCTAGAAATTCTTTTTTGTCCTTTTCCCCATCAGCCTTTGAGAGGGTTCCCTTGACGTTCTAGCTCCTCCCTCCCCCCCAGTTTCTCTCTTGTTACTTCCTGTGGTGGTTCTTTCCCCACGCTTGTCTCTGGTGGCCCTCACAGTTCTCCCATACAGTGCTCTTGGCCTGCTCTGTCCTCTTTTCGTGGCGTTCACTGCTGTCCATGTCTAAAAAGTTCCTACTGATCCTCTTCACCTTGACTGTTCTCTCTTACTTTTGTCTCTGCAGAAGTTCCTGCAAGGGGAGATGTAAAATAAATGGACTGTCTCTTTTTCTGCCCCTCAGGCCTGTCTGCCTGTAGCTTTAGTGATTGTGTTAACCTCACACTCTCCTTGTTACTTTTCCTTCTTTCTTCCTGATTGCTCATTATCCAAGTTATTTATAAATCATTCCAGCCTTCTGTTGGTGTGGTACTGAAGTCTACCTGTGCTTCTCCATCACTTCTGTTAAAAGCCTTTGTAGAGATGCTGATCATCCCTCACCTTTTCTGTTGGCTTTCCCTTTCTTGCAGCGCTGCCCATCCTGTTCCAAATGCAGCTGCTTAAAGTCTTCTACCTGCTGCTCGTACCAGATTGCTCTGCAGTGTCACGCCTGATGACTTACAAACTGCACAGTGTCACTTTCATGCTCTTGCTTCCTCCTGCTGGTGCTTCTTTCTGGCCTTTCACTCCTGCCTTTTTCCCCCTTCCCCAACTCTCTTCCTTGGTAAAGGGCAGGTATTAATCCTTGCATGTTTTTGCACAGTTGAGACAGGCACGCTGAGTTGTCAGGATTGATTTTCACGTACTTTAAAGGTCCCTTCACCCTGTCCCGGACTGAACGTGCCGTAGATACCTTAGAATGGTCAGGATGGTCTTAATAGAAAACAGAGCCAGGCGGTAATGCTTTCCAGGCTGTTGCAGTGCAGAGCTAGAGTAATGACTTTGGGGTTTCTGGTAATCTCTTCAGAGGCGATCCCAGGCTGGATCCCAGGAGGGCACAGTGTCCTCAGCTCCATCTCACCTGGGTGTTTCTGTGCTTGCTGCCTTTGTCCCCAGGTTAGCATTCCTCAAATGCTGGGCATTGTTTGTGGTCACGGCTGGTTGATGGCAAGGCTGGGAAGTTTGCTGTCACCAGCAACTCGATTTTGCCACGAAGTGCCATCCCTTCTCCCTTTCTTTACTCTTTTCTTGTGTGGCAGACCTGTGTACCTTGGGGAGAAGCCATTCCAAGGTTTGCTCCCAAAACACAGGGGGTGAAGCTCATGTATCGAATGGTGTGATTCAAACCTATTTTAGTTGAGAAAAGGGACATTACTGCAAAATGGCTCCATCATGCTCCTTACTTGTCTGCACTTGCAGAGACCCAGACTGGATTTGGTCAAACCTGGTCAAGTTACCGTGCTCATTTGTGCCCCTGACTAGGTGGGGATAACTCTCTTGAGTCTTCCTTGGGCACTGCCCACCCCGGTTTAAAAAACTGCAGGATGAGTCCCTGTCCCCTCTCTGAAGAAGCGTTCCCAGGCCTCTGCTGCTCTGGCCTGCTGATGTTCAGGACAAAATGCTTAGATCCATTGCTGTTCTTTTATGTGGACCATGGTAAGCAATTCCATCTCCTTCCCTTGCATCTCAGTGATACACCTCCAGACACCTGACATAGGTTACTTTTTTTTCAGATGCCCTGTGTTAAACCAGTTTAAATCTGTCCCAGATAAACAGTGGTCAGAATTTTTTATCCTGCAAGGGTCCCAGCATAAATTCCTGAAATTCCAGTGCAGGGGAAATGTGATTTTGAGGTTTTTTGGTCCCTATCTTAGAAGGCAATCAGGGTCACAGTTGGTTCCCATTGCTTTATTTACTGGCAGTCTAAGTAGGGAGCTGAAATTGGAGTAATTCTTTACCCCTGTATCCTAAGAGTGGCTTGTGAGAAAAAGCAGATCCTTGGTAGTAACCTGCTTGCCATCCTGTGTCTGCTGTGGGGATAAATCACAGACTTCAGTGTTCAGGGCATCTGGTCTGGAACATTTTGTTAGTAGTAAATTCAGGCACACACAAAATACCGTGCTACTTAATTGCCAGCAAGACCTATAATGACTCATTTTGTGTTGATTTTTTTTTTCCCTTCTTCCTCTGCAGCGACTATAATGGAGAGACAGAAGAGGAAACAAGAAATTGAGAAAGGACTTCAGTTCATTCAGTAAGTGGACGACCTCAGTGTTTCCTGAGGCTCTGGAGGCGTTTGTCTTTGTATCAAGGATTGCAGGGACTCAGTTCTTCCTATTCACTGCTTTTGAGCTGCTGCGTAGGAAGGAGGTACTGGCCCTGAGGATTTTCACCGTGGTTGTTCAGGGTGCTTCTTGTCCTGCCGTCACTCTAGGCCTGGAATCGTATCATTTTAATTTCCTGGGGTTTGCACTCCACTGCAGTTCCAGGATGATCGTTACGGTCAGCGTAATGCAAACAGTGCTTGGACCTTCTACTTTATCTTCGGTGTGAAGGTCTCAAAGTGCTCTCTCAACAAGGTCATCCCACCTTTCTGCAGAAGAGAGGTATTGTGTCTCTTTTGTGGGTGGGGAAAGCAGGGTACATGACTTGCCAGGTGCCCTGTATAGTGCTTGTAGCAGAAATAGATGGCTTGGGCTCTTTTACAGTTGCCAGCCTGGTAGGTGCCTCAGGTCACTCTTCTGTGGATATCATGTGGCCTTCCACAGCTTGAGGTGGTTGCTCATGTAATAGCTGCAAGTCCAAGGGCTTGCTTATCAAGTACAGTCATGTTTTTTCCCTCCAGTGTTTGAGTTAGCAAAGGCCTCAGTCTCAGGTCTGGGTTCCATAGTGAGTAAGGAAGCAGTGAGATGGTAATCAGATTGGTTTGGGGTTTTTTTTAAGGTCTGCTTTGAGTCCTGACATTATGACGTTCGGAATCTATGCATCTACAACAGGAAAAAAAGCGCCAAACCTTCCATGTTGCATATTTATATCCTGTAGCATGTCAATTATATTTTCACCCCAAACTGAGACTAAGTGGTGCTGATAACCCGGTTTCAGAGAGGCAGTGGTGAGGTTTATTTTTCGGGAAGAAATAATTTAGAAGTACGGGGTGTTGTTTGTGCTTCGGGAGCTTATCTTAAACTCCGAACCACGGGCAGCGTCATTTGTCGTCTTGTTTTGGTGTGAAAGAGGGGTAGTCTGATTTTGTAAGCAGCGTGAATGTTTCTTACAAAGCCAAGGCATTTCCTGTAGTTAATTTTGAGGAGCAGATGATGATTTGATTCGATGAAATCTGAAAGAAAGTGTATTCTCTGACCAGTAAGATTGTGCGTACGATGTTGTATTTCAGAGGCGAGGAGGGCCATGAAAGGTGCTAAGGATTTCTCCAGAGCCTACTCTTTTCTCTTTGAAGAGAAAAAATAAATGCATGTGGACCAAACCCGTCTGACCTGGCTGGTCTGACTTGGAGAACAGAACCTTTCATCCAGGTCTCAGTGCTGCTGTGGGGTAGGCGTTCTCCACACGAGAGCTGCCAGTTTTGTGCCACAGCCTGGCAGCCTTGGCCAAGGCAGCTGGAGTTAAATGGCCTCCCAAACCTGCATTTTCTCCTTGGCTTCTGTGGTGTGTGGCTAGGTTAGCACAGAGAAAACTGATTGCATTTATCACTGTATGTCTTTGGTCGCACAGAGGATTTGGGGAGGTCTTGGAGTGCCAGTCTGGTGCCTCTCGTTAGAGCCAGATGCACTTAAAATGCGCTTGTATCCTCCATGGCAATCTCTCATGGGACTTCCTGAAAGATGAGGGTTTTTTTAGGTGGCTGGCTGAAGGCACATTACAGACGATTGTGCATGCGCAGAAAATGGCTGGGAATGTTTCCTCTAGTCTCAAATCCCTTTAGGACCTGACCATTTCTTGACAACGCTGTGGCCATCACTGAGCACAAGGGCTCCCTAATTGTGTTCTCTTTGCCTCAGCTGCCTTTAAAGTGATAAATCGCTCAGCATCTCACCAAGATCATAAACACAGAACCAGAAAGATGGTTTCTTCATCAGACAAAAACCTGTGTTTGTATGGATGCCTGCTTCATGAGAATTTTGGTTTGTTTTTTTTTTTTTTCAGGTCCACATTACCCCTAAGCCAAGAAGATTATGAGGTAATGAAGAGTTTGTTTTCTGAAGTTGGGAAGTCTTCAGTTAGCAGGATTTGTTCTGTTGCACAGCCATTAGTTTACATACCAGTCGTGGAGAGCATGGGATGGTCTGTTACAGTTTGTCTGTATCTTAAAACTTTAATGTCCTGACAGTGACAGCTCTGGGGAAAGGGAGAAGACACTTGAGTGCTCAAGAAGAAAGGAGCTTTGGCTGGATTATTCTCCTCTACCAGAAGACTGATGTTTTACAGAAGGGTGGGGAGGCAGGAGGATCTTGGTGGGCAGGAAGCTTGCTAAAAGATATACGGAAAGGAATGGGAAATTGGGTTTTCCCAATTCTCTCATGATTATTTTTTCAATATTTCTGAATATCCACTTCAGTCTATTTGCTCTTAAAAAAAGCCTTTTTGCAGAAGCTGGTGAGAAACCTGTTTGCAGAGGGCAATGATTTGTTTCGAGAGAAGGATTTCAAGCTTTCGCTGGTGCAGTATGTGGAAGGGCTGAATGTGGCAGACTACGCAGCCTCTGACGAGGTGACCATCCCAAAGGAGCTTCTGTGCAAGCTGCACGTCAACCGCGCTGCCTGCTACTTCGCCATGGTGAGCGCCGTCCCCGGGGGCCCAGGGAGGACGTCGTGGCTGCGGTGCTGTGCATTTGGGAAAGATGGCAAGGGGGATTTCAATTGATTCTTTCCGCACACTTCTCCAGCACCGGAGGAGATGATGACAGACAGAAAACTCTGACCTCCCCCCACTATTGCACTGTGTCTTGTGAGACCAGGTGAAGGGTGTGAAGGAGAGGGGGACAGGCCTAAGGTGCTGAGAATGCAATTCTGGTCCACGTTGGTGAGGAATTAGTTCCATCTGGAGACTGGAAAGAGCCAGTGCCTTCCAGTGCTGACTGAGTATTTCTTGGGAATACTGTTTGAGTATTGCTCTGGAGGCTCCTTCCTCCTCCAGCGAGGTGCTGGAAGACAGTGAGAAGGCTTTGAATCTTGATGGAACTTTCAGCACACGCCTGGAAAAGGGTTCTGCAATACTCAGGCTCTGAAAGGCTGCGTGCTTCCATTTTTCTAAGGAATCTAACAGCTTTCCTTTGTGGCACAGCTCCAGAGCAGGTCCATCCTGTTCGTTGAGAGTCTGAGTCCATGAAAAAAATTAGCAAGCAGTCACATAATTAAAGACTGTCAGATGTCACATGCCCAGGGTAGAGGGGGAGACAAGATAAGGTTGCTCAAGCAGCCTTAATTCTGGCATTCGCTGACTTTGAAGTGTTCTGAGTTTTGCAAGGCTTAACAAAATGTTCTATTAACTCTGAGTTTGGTGTGTTTGTATGCTGGTCTGTGTATGAGGTAACATGTATTTCCAACTGCCTTTTATAGGCCTGTTTTCTGCTGAGAGATAAACCAGAATTCATTCCCTTGCATTCACACAGCAGGAGGGGTTAGTCTGCTGTGCCTCAGCTGACTCGAGGTGGTCTTTTCCATGCAGGGATTGTATGAGAAGGCACTGGAAGACAGCGAGAAGGCTTTAAGTCTGGACACGGAGAACATCCGAGCGCAAATGAACTGGGAAGACACAAAGAAGCATACGAGTGCAATAGCCGATGCTTGCTGTCCCTCCCACATGTAAGTTTTTGAGATGCAACTTACTTTGATTTGTGTGGCTCACCACCTTCCTCCTCCATAACGTGATTAGTGTGCGGCCAGGAGATAAGTGGACGAGGAAGCTTGGCTGTTCCTGGGAACACGCTTGTGCCCAGAAATTGTGCCTGTCTGACTCGAAGAAGATGCATGACCTCATGCGTTTCCTCGGTCCAAGTCACCCTCCACAGACAGTGCCAGCCAGAGACACTGGTTAGTGACAGCAGGTTTAGTGGCCTATTTGCGAAGACCAAACCCCTACCCTAACAAAATGTGACCTGAGGCCATGCGTTTGTTTTAATTAGCTGGTTTTATATGTCTGATGGGAGTAACTAGGAGCATGGGACAAATGGGAACTGGAGCACTGGAAGGAAAGCATGTATACTTCTCCTGTTTTAGATGAATATGTCTCACATCTTACTTACTGATTGCTGAGGCAAGCTGGTGAAGCTTTTTGTTTCTTGTTGGACATGCAAAAGTGTCCTTAATGTCACGTCATAGCTAGTTTTGTGTTCACAGGTGTGTAAACTCTTGCATTCAGAGGGGACTATCTGCATATGCTAGGCCCTAGATATTTGTCTGACAGTGCTTTTGCTGAGTGTCTTTTTAGGCCAGATATTGAAGAGGAAACTAGACTGTGATCAGATAGATTCTAGTGAGCACTTGCAGCTTTCCTTGCTGTCACAGCCAAGAACTTTGTTGTCCAAGCAGAGCATGCATTAAAACTTCTGGTGATGGAGGATCTGCCACTCCACTGACTCTCTGTCTAGCAGCGTTAACTTGTTTGCAAGTATCTGCAAGGGTGCAGATACTCAGTGCTGATAGTTTGCAGGGGTTCCCAGCATAGTGGGGTTGATACTCCTCTGTGGTATGCTTTTTTGGGATGGCATGGGGTATTTTAGGCTGTTGGAGGAAAGCATGTTGCATGTCCTTGTTGAGTATCCCCTCATTTAGGTGGGAGGTCGTACATGCCTGAGGGTGGCATTTAGCTGAGGGAATGGAAGGCTAAAGTAAGGGAAGGCTTTGTCATCTTGGGGGTGACAAAGAGCAAATAACCCCCAAACCTCAGGCCTGCTGACAAAAAGGACAATAATTAAAGGCATGTTGTTGGGAAGTGGCGGCAGTCTAGAGAGAAAGACATTCTTGATCTTGCTCGGGAATCGAGAAGACATCTCGGAGTTACGTTGGCATGTGGAGCTGGATAAACTGCGTAGGTATGAGATCACTGACTAAGAAATTATGTCCGAGGTCTTTCTGGTGAGTTTTCCACAGGCAGTAAGAAAGTGTCAGGCTTCAGAAGGCATCTGTGAGAGCGTTAGGGAAGGCAGAATCACCCAAGGCAAACAGAGCAGTGAAAACATGATTGTTGTTAGGGAGATCTGAGAGGTGGAGGAGAGTGAGGAGGGAGCAGTGACCCTGAGACTGGACCAAGAAGAGGTCTCTGGAGGGTGCCTCTTCAGGAGAGGGTACATCCTGGAGGGCTGTAAGATGGAGGGAGAAGAGGGAAAAGGACAAGATGGATTTTGTCTTCACTAAGTTCAGAGAGGATGGTGACAAGACCATTGTTGAGGGTGTGGGGGAGCAAGGACAGTCAAGAAGTGGCACTCTGGATTGAGAAGTTACTGATGCCGTGCACTGGAAGAACCAGAGGCTAGCGAGTGTTTGAAAGGGAAAGCAGGAACCTGCAGGGAGGAGGGGGTTGGAAAGACCAGTGTGGCAAGTAGAGAGAAAGAGAGCAAGCTTCCAAGGTTGGAGGCGAGGGGGGAGATGTTGGGACATGAAGGAGGGATGTCGCAGTAGGTTGGGCAGGTATTTTTTATGTTGTTGAAGAAGCTGTTAAAGTACTCCAGCGTTTTCGCAAACAGAGAGGAAAGCAAAAGGAGAGAGTTGCTGGTGGTAAATAAGTGGAGAAGGTTGTGGCAGGTTGTTAGTCCAGGCAGAACTGGAGAGGATGGAGCAGGGAATGGAGTGGGGCCTGGAAGTTTGTCTACAGCCCACGGCAGTGTGTGAGCAGGCCTGGGCAGTGAGCAGGGAGGATGGTTAATGGCACACAGCAGGGAAAGCAGAAGGATCTGCTTGACTAAGCTGAGGCTGTTGAAGCAGAGCTAGAGACAGTGAAAATCCCTTGTAGCTAGTAAGTTGGAAACTGAGACTTTGTTTCAGCTTTAGAAACAAACAAGCAAGCAAACCAGGCTGGTGAGTACTGTCCGCGTATCAAGCCTGCCCTTAGCTCTGTGGCTGGCGGAGGGGAAGGTACACAGGCTGCGCATGCAGGAAGGCATGCGGCCTCCTTCTTCCCGGACACCGGGACCCTGTGGGAGCTGTATCAGTCCCCAGCCTCAGCAGCGTCTTCGGCCCTCGTCCGCAGGACTCGTGAACCCTGCTTTCGGAGAGTGGGTGCTTGCTTGGAAGC